TTGTATCTATTTATGTGTTTGTTCAGACTGTTATTATATCATCTGCTAATTTTTCGTGGTACAGGCCTCAGGCTTCATGGTGGTATTCCCCTGGGTCACCCTGGAACCATTTCAATTTTAGTATTATGTTTGCTGTTCCTCAGGTACCAAAACACTTTTAAGCAGGAAATTACATAGCACAGCAAGTGCATACGATTCACTTTTGCCTTCCTTTAGAAACCCATCTACTCTTGGCCTCATGTTACTCTTCATTTGACTTGTACAGTCCATAATGTCTCTGAATGCTATGATCTTTTGCGGGTGCTAGGCATCCTGCATGGAGAAGGTGCTGGAGTCGGTACCCATCAGAGTCCTTTCATGGTGAACACAAAAGAAGGGGAAAAATTAAGTTTTGTGCTACTACCTTATTCTCTCTGAACTTTTTTTTTTTTGCCTTGATCATCTCTTGGCCCTGCAGACTCCCTGGCAGGCTTCCTGTTCTGTTTGAAGAAGGATTTATGTTTTAAAATTTATTAATACTTGTGATAACATTTGCTGGTTGAGGTTTAGTTTCTTTTCTTTGGCCTGCCTGATAGTGTATTCTGCTATATTTAGGCACCTGGAAGTCTATTAATACCAAAACCGATAACTGAGAGTTGTCTTCCTTATCAGGGAAAAGTAAATAAATTACTCCATATTTTACCCTAGAACTGACAGGATCTCCTTGTTTGTTTTGTTTGTTTGTTTGTTTTTAATCACCTGCTGCTGCCAGAGCTTGTGAACCCTTTTATGTTCTTCACTTGGGAGCGGCTGGCCTGTTGAAGGCTGGCTGTTGTGCCTTCCCTGCACTACTGCATAGCCGTGTTGACTTTCCTTGCCCTTTCTCAGGCCTATCTCAGTACAAACCCCATGTGCTTTTTCTTTGCCTGCAACTGAGTGTCCTTAAGCAGTTGTGGGCACCACAAACATTTCACTCTTTCAGTAATCTCTTTTCCCTTCCTTTTAATGAGCTTGCATCGTTTTACCAAGCTGTCCTTTGACAGTGATAGGCCCTCTTTTTTGTCTTTTGCAAGGAGCTGGATCTAATACACAACGGTGGCTGTCACAGACCCTTTTT